TTCTATTTTTTGTAATAGTAACACTCCAAAAACCAGATATAATTTCATAATGTTGACACAGATTGCATTTATAATTTGCTTCTAATTTAAAAATAAAAAATAAAACTATTAGATTAAGAAGCTAGAAGTTGTCAGTTATGTTTAAAATACTTAGACTTGAATTTGGTTCATTTTTATAAATATGTATGTATATATATATATATTTACGTTTATAGATCAGTTATTTGACTATTTCTATAGTATTTTTGTCCTACTGTATATAGTGGGACGATTGGTGGACTTTTTTATATTATGAAATTTACCCTGGGACGATTTGGTAAGACAATGTAAAGAGCATATAGAAAAAATAAAAAAAAGATTTTTTTCAAGAAAAATTGGTTTTTATGAAATACAAAGTATCGTTAAGGATATCATCTGTAAAAAAAAATTATTTCTACTTTTTGCATCGTACTCGGTGTATGAATTTCAGTGTGTAACTAATGCAGACTTCTACAATTTTAGAAACTATCTGCAGAAAACTACTAATGTACGATGTTACACCCGCACATTCCGCACATTGAATTTTATACACTGGTGCTATGATGTAATTATTAATAAATTAGACTATTTTGTGGAATTAACATAAAAAAGGGGTTGTTGAAATTCATCAAATATATTAATATATAATGAACCATATCAATACATTTCCACCTATTATATCATTTTTAAACAAGTTATCTAGAATGTCAACTCGCGCTTTAAAGAAATTAGTAAAAAAATTTGCTAAGAAGTCGTCTTCTACAAGTGAGATTATTTGCAAGCATTTCTTTTATTATAACCTTTGTCATTTTAGGACTACAATATGATTTGTTTGTTTGTCTTGACAGATGACCCTATGGAAAACTTTAATGAAGATTCTAATAAAAAAATTATCCATCAATGGGCAAAAATGGTACGAGCAAAACACAAGAATGATAAAGATTACGATGACGATGATTTATATTATGAGGACCCATTGCTTTTGATTGAATGGAATGATGCAGGTTTAAATAGCAGAACACTTGCTAATCATCAACACACAAAAATGGCTTTAGTTAATTGTATATATATAACCATAAATATCACATTATTGATTATTTTTTGAAGATTCTTTCTAAAAATTTTTTTTGATTAGTGATTCGAGGACAACCAGGTTGTTGACAATTCCCTCCGACAGGCATTCCATCAGAATGTGCGTTTTCCTTCGTAGATACTCCAGCACTCTCAGCAAATCAAGCATTAGTCGACACGATTGCAGCGCTCGGCAGCAACAATTGGTCTAAACATGCCCCTGGAATTCCGGATGTTGGCCGGGTTTATGAAATCCGTACCCCTAGAAAAGGGCAATTGTCTACTATTGAACATCGGCTTGTGTTCAATCTTTGACTATCACGTTATTATGGAAGTAAATTTTAAAAATTTTTTTTATTGAAATTTTTCAGAAAAATATTTAGTTTTAATTACAGATGCTAAAATTAAAATAATATAATCAAAAGTAATAAATTTTATTGCTAAAAGTATGAATCTACGTATATATTCTGGATATACTCATTTGGATAATTAATTTTTGATTTGAAAGAATAAGTAGGTTAATAGATAATCACAATCTACTTATCGATATATGTATTATCAATATGGCCATGGCAATTACTCGAAAAAGCAGAAACTCCAGAACTAATAACTTTACCTCGATTTTGAACCTGTTCCTAGAAAAATATAACTTGTCCGCCGAATCCAACCCATCTCAATTACGTGACTATGCTAGTGAACTCGGTGCTATGCTTCCAGATTGGAAAGCCCGCAAAAGCGTAAAAGAAGCTCTTTGCCGACGCTTATTCAAAGAAGATCAGACCAAGGCTCTTTGTAAACGTTCAAATAATTATCACAATTTTACAAACGTTTAGATATTTATTTAACACTGTTAATGAACTGATAATTTTATTGTTGTAAAATTATAAAAAAGTTAAAAGCGACTTGATCATTTGATCATTTTTCACACACATACTGAAAACATAGAAAGCAAAATATACGCGTTAAAAAAATACATCTCAGGTTAAACAAGTTTTTGTGCGCAGTCACGCGACTTTTTTCTATTCTAAATTCAATTGAAATAGCAAGTTTCACAATATAAAAAAGATCGACGATCGATTTTGTCACAAGTGATAAAACGAATGTCCACTATGCTGTTGTAACCTCATTAAAAAAAAAAATACTATAACTTTATATATAAGCTTCAGATTAAAGATACACGTTATTGAGTTATCATTAAATAAAAATATGGAGCCCCTTTTAATTCAAATCATATCCTGGGCATTAGAATATTAATTTCTTCCTGTGCTTATATCACTTTTGATTTTATTGTATAGATTGAATAATTATTGTTTCAATAACAAAAAATCTTATTTTTTTAAGAAATGAAAGCATATGTTGTTATTAATCTAAAGCTAATAAGTTGAATTAAATCTTAATTTTTAAAATAAAAAAATCATAAATATTTCATAAATATAAAAAAATATTACAAATGTTACTTACATAAAATGCATAAAAGAATAATTACATAAAGTACAAAAGATCCTTTCACTCAAAATATATTTTTCATAATTTTCATCACCCGCTATTATTTCTGATGTTTAAATTCAAATTTAATATCGGAACTTAAAGATGGTGATAATGACGGGTTTAAAGATGACGAAGAATTCAAATTCAAATTTTCATTTTGATCAACAATGACTTCGATTAATCTACCAATTATGAGAAGTAATTATCGAAGAATCATAATGATAATTGCATGAATCGTTATCGTTATAATTATCGTTATTGTTATTAACATTGTTGTTATAACCATAACAATTCGATTCACAATTTGAATTTGAATGATTGTTGATATTGATAATTAGCTCATGTGGAAAATGTAACGGCAATTGAACGTGATTATTATTTCCATTGTTGTTGTTATTGTATATACTGTAATTATAGGGGCAATCATAATTGTCTCCATTATTATTATTAATGCTGACGTTACTATCATCAATATTGTCATTGTTATAAATGTTAATATTGAAGGATAAGTTGTAGAAATCAAATGGAGAGACCGGGGTTGATAATATAGGAGTCGGTAATGGTGTTAACGGTGTTAATGGTGACAAAGGTGACGATATCGACGGTTCGTAATTGTTATTATCGGCAATAAAATAACTATTATTAATACAAGGAGTATGAGGGATAATGCGATGATTATTAATATTATCATTAGTATTAATATACCCAGGATCGTCAGCATCACCAGTGGAAGGAATAATATTAAGAATATTATTATCATGAGAAGAGGACAATTGAGGAAGTAGGCTCTTAATAAAAGTATCTGCAGCAGGTGCAGGTGTAAGTGTAGCAGTAGTTGTGGCTGCGGTTGCAATAGGTTTAGCAACAATAGTTGTAGTAGAAGTTGATTTATCAATATGAACTTTATTGATTTTTAATTTCTTTTTTTTCTTTTCTTTTCTATTATTATCAGTTTGTTTATCAATAGCGACAGTAGAAGCAGAGGCCCGAGAATTCGAAGATTTTTTAGGGATGAACACGTAACCAGGATGAGCTTGGCTATGTTCCATTTTTTTACGGTCTGCCAATCTTTGCCAATACATTTTAATATCATCTTTTTCATTTCTCCACATTTTTGCCAAGATCTTTGAAATTTTTGAATTAGTAATGTTACCATAATGTGCAGTAATTTCTGGTTGTTTTTCACGTCTGTAAAGAATAAACGCATTTGGAGGCCTTGGTGTTTTCCTTAAAGAAGGTCGCATTTGTAATTCAGTTTCATCAATGATAAATTGACCTTTGACGTTATTGTCGACAGTAAATTTTGAAGAATATGATGATGACGATGGTGATGATGATGATTTATTAGATCTGATTGGCAATTGTGGTCTTACTCTAATCGGTTCCATGAAAGAAGTGAAGACAAAATTATCTTGTGCTCTAATACAACTATTTTCAAGAGAAGTTGTACAATCGATCATCAAAGAATTGTTACATTGTACGTCGTTGTTTCTTTTAAGATTCTGAGGTGGAATATCGAACATAAGTAAACCACAATATTGTCTTCTCGCAGCCTCATCCATTTTTGTTTTATCAAAATAGATTTATGACGAAACGGTAGGTAATTTAGAAGAGAGTGAATGATTAGGTTTTTTATACAAGAAAAAAAAAAAAAAAAGGGTCAAGTTGAAAAAAAGAATGAATAAGATTTTTTAAAAAAAAAAATTTAAATTAAAAAAAAAATCAATAAAAAATATAAATAAATAAATAAATAATATTAAAAAAACCAAAAAATTTTGTATGAAATCCACAGGCCTAAACTTTTATAATCGAGAATAGTCAAAGTATTTATAAATTTGATTGATTGATAACGAGAACAATCTAGACTCACACAAATCAGTCAGCGTAATTTGAGATGGGAACTAATCCAAAAAGATTAAGAAAAAAAATGCGCCAGCACAACATAAGATGCTGATAAATGTGATAGTGGTGGTAGTAGTAATAGTAGTGGTAGTGGTAGTAGTGGTAGTAGTGGTAGTAGTAGTAGTAGTAGTAGTAGTAGTAGTAGTAGTAATAAAAGACGTTGAGCCAAAAAAAATTCCTCGCGTGTTATATCTTACGCCAACTTTCAGATAGCAACGTACGAGCGAATGGATAAGCGAATTGATAGTTTGAATGAATGAATACCAAAAGAAAAATTATCCTAATTGACACCGGTCGTTAACATTTGTGATTGTGATGTACACTTGCTTAGGATTTGGTATGTTCTGAATACCAGGAAATTGAGACTATCCAATATGAACAAACAAGCAGTTGATTGTATGGCATCATTTATAAAAAATAGAAGTTTAGATTTAAACATAGCAATTTGATTGGATTCCATTACAAGTAAGAATGCAAGTTATTTCATAATCAGTTAGTTGATATCATTTTCTCACACGCACCTTTTGATTACGCCATAATTTCATTGCATTCATATCCATTTTTAAATTATTTTACCATTCTATTAATATTCTTAATTTCTTAGATCGTAAAACCGCGTTGGTTAGCGTCAATTAAATTGATCCAACAATAAACAAAGATTCACGCGTCAATATAACAATAATTAATATTTTATTAATTAACTTGCAAGCAATTATTTATTTATATCCGAATTTATCAATTCACAAATATTCCACTCTAATTTTTTTATATTTTTGGATAATGTTCCAAAAATCACCAATTTTAATTTAATTGCGGTAATTACACCTGATTCGTATGACACAGAATAACGGTTATTGGAAAATAAATTATCACCTTTATTGTTATTCGTCAACACATAACAATAACTTGTTTTGAATATTTTTGGAAATTGAATGTTATAAATCAATTGAAATTCTAAATTTAGAATGTTATTGCAGCGACTTTGATTGATAATCTCCAATGCAGTATATAAAATAGTGGACACCAGTCGCTTTTTTTAGTTTCATCCAATCACATTGGTTCATTTCTGGTTTCTTTCTCCCTTCATCTCTTTTAATATGTATATCATAAATCTTAATCAGAATGAAGCTAATAAAATCTGCAATTCACAATTCATTTATTATCCTTCTTGATTCTATTAATCCGCTAGTTAGTTCAATTTCCATTTCCAACTTATTACTTTTTCCCACTATGTATATATATATATATATTAACATTTATTGTATTGTTCTCCTTAATATTTTTGTAATGTGTGTGGATTGCACAACAATTATACATACATGATAAATAAAACACTTTTCTTGTGAATGGTCTTCCATAATTAGAACAATTGAAACAAGTTTTGTAAGATAAATAAAGTTACTTGTATGTTCGAGAGCGTGAAATTTAAATTAGCCGATCAAAGTTTGCATCCCAAATCCACAGAAAAATTTTAATGTTCGTCAAAATTTTTTTTTGTAGAGGACAAAGGAAAATCACTTCCAAATTTGCTCAAAAATATGGTATATACAACAACATTTAAAAATCCAAAAAAAAAAAAAAAGGTTCGAGACAAATTTTTTCTTGAATAAAACCCATCTAAATCCAACATGCGGAACACATGTATTATGATCTCGCTACAGAATATTTGATCGAGCAAAACAAGCTAAATGAATGTTTAAATAATCCTTTATTTTTGTTACCATAATCAATTATATTCATCGTAGTATACGCCATTTGCTTAATAGATACAAGAGTTTGTATAAAACCATCATCAATCCACGCATTGGTCTTATTGAAATTTTCCTTCTTTGAATTTAACTTTAGTAATAATCAAACTTCTTACAGAGACAATAATAACGACTTTTTATTTATTTAAAAATAAAAAACAATATTAATTCTCTATT